TTTGACGTTCATCGAACACCTATAAGTATGCTTATACATAGATATGCAACCAGCTATGCCACACCCCTACACGATTCGGTGGTTGCGATCCTCCTTCGCTGGTTGTACAAATATTTACTATGATTATCCGCGCAAATCAACAATACACAAATACTTAACGTGGAATTACGATGGAAAGATGGTTAGCAGCATTGTATCTTCGATAACATTTTTTTATTTATTCAGACATAATTACGGTTTACGGTAAAATTTCATTGATAAAATTTTTGTTTTATTTTTGAATATGTAGATTATGACAAATAATGCTTGAAAAAACTAATAAAAAGTTATTTAAAAATACAAAATAACACGATATAAAATAACAATTTATAAGAATTTACAACCAATTATTAACGGATGATAATAACTACGTACAAAAATAAATATTTTTGTCACTTCAGTTTCACTACTGCTGCCATCTGGTAGAATATATTCATATTCATTAAGTGATTGTGGTTATTTTAAATTAAAAAATAATATAAAAAAACTTGCTATATCGTATATAATGTAATAAACAATCGTTTATATCATATGTTTATATAAATATTGTCACAAGTGAACGAGATAGTATTATCATCTAATGAAATTTTTTTATTACAAACTCTGGAAATCTTTTATCGTTTCATTATCATTATCAATGTTATCAATTTATTTAATTTGGAACCCCTTGTTTCTTTAAGATAATAGGATAATTAAATAAATAAAAAGATTCAATAATAAAATTTAATATTGAAAAAAATTAGTAAATTATAGACATTGAAATACCATCTAGCGGTGAACTAATAGAACTATTCGATAGAAAAAAAAAAAATAAAAAAATATGAATTTCTTAATTATTGAGTTAAAATTTTTAACTTTTAATAAACTTACATTAAAATACTTACATTTTAGAATATAATTTCATATAAATTTTATCTGAATATATTTTCAAATTTCAATGGCACATAGAAAATGATACGATATTAACCATAATATGGTAAAATGAACTATGACTATACCAACATGATATAATAACGTATACGTATACGATGCATATGCGCATGCGCATTGATACTTTCGGTAGTGACAATATAACGAATCTTATGCAAAGAATGAGAGAGACAAAAGACGACGATGCTCGGAAGGGGGTGTAAACTTAACAGAACTGTTGGGATATTCTCACAAACAAGTGCTATTAAAGTAATTTGACCTTTGAAATTACTGGATAACTCGGTTATTTTCCTATAATAACCTTTACGTATTCAGGATGTCTACTAGGAGTAACAATATAAAAAGAACCGTCCGACACGTAACCTGCTCTTGAGGTAATTTAATCTAATATTGAATATACAACTGTAAGCATTACGTATTTCTATTCGTTACTTAAATTTTAAATAAATCTTAATTTATATTTTAATCATTTAAAAATAATCTCCCATATATAATTTTAAATAATCGTGAATAATTTTATTCTTTTTTTTCTTTGTCTTTTTTATAGATATTGGTATTTCGAAGATAAGCAACGATAAACATTAAATATAATCGACAGCAATAAAAAAAATGTCGTGTACGAGCGAGCTTTCTCGATCACAGGAATATCTCAGCTTTCGTAGTTCCGTCCCGCTTAGAAAAATCGTCGTTGATGCCGATGGTACTAAGGTAATTGTTAAGCTTAATTTTATATCGAATCTTTTGAAGATTTTGTTTAACAAGATTACGTTTAAAATTGATATCTGATGACCTCACGACTAGAACTATCGTAAACAAATCTTATATCTAAAGATATAATCGAATCCATGATCGAAAGTCAATAAGTATTGAATATTTTTTTGATGAATAACAATATTTATTTTATATTATATTGTGTTCGATTTCTGCTTTAAAATCGAAATATTGCTATCAATATTATCATTAATCACACAAACTAAACGAAACATGGATTTCTTTTATCTTTATTTGAAATATTTAACGGTAGTATTGAAACATGGAAACTGTTTTTATATCCGATAAGAATAATAATAATCTTTTAGGGATGGAAAGTATACGATTCTAGTCCAAAAACCATTAAATGTCCACTTATATGTCTTCCACCGGTTAGTGGGACAGCCGATATTTTTTTTAAACAAGTACTGGGCTTAGCAGCAAAAGGATATAGAATTATATCTGTAAGTTTTACAAACTTTTTTATAAACTTTGAGATACGTATAAATTTTGTGTAATGTAATAAATGATTGATGTAAAATAATATTTCAGGCTGAACCGCCCGTGTATTGGAACGTTAAAGAATGGTGTGATGGATTCAGAAAACTTTTGGATTACATGGAATTAGATAAGGTGCATCTTTTCGGCGCTTCATTAGGTTAGAACGTACGAACAAAATTTCATATCCGATATGACAAGAGATGTATCTTCGATATCTTAATTGAAATACTTATTTTTAGGTGGGTTTCTAGCGCAAAAATTCACCGAAGTGAATGCTCATTGTCCTAGAGTAGTATCGTTGGTTTTATGTAACTCGTTCACGGACACGTCGGTGTTTAGTTACAATGATTCCGCGACAATGTAAGTATATACCAATTATGTTATTTCTATTACTAGTAACGTATAATCATACGTTTTTTTTTTTTTAACTATAACTATAAAGTCAAACGAATTCGTCATATTTCATCGTTTGATTCTCGCTTGTTTCGAGATAAGTACAAGAAAACGCGATATGTTATCTCGAATATTTTTGCGTGTAACTATTCTTAATCAATTCAAATCGTAGCTTTTGGATTTTGCCATCATTGGTATTAAAAAAGATGTTAATGGGAAACTTTGTAACGGATAAGGTGGACGGAGAGATTGTTGAGGCGATTGATTTTATGGTAGAAAGAGTATGTATTTCGTGAATATTTTTTCTTTATCATTTATTATTCTTGAAAATAATTACATGAATATTACATCTGTTTCCAGTTGGAAAGTTTAACGCAACCGGAGTTAGCGTCTCGATTAACGATGAATTGTGTCAATTGTTACGTACAACCGCAAAAAATATGTCACTTACCTATCACCATTATAGATGTTTTTGACGAGTACGCATTATCGAATTCGGTGAGAGAAGAAGTGTATAAATGTTATCCAAATGCTAAATTGGCCCATTTAAAAAGTGGTGGGAATTTTCCATATTTAAGTCGAGCGGCAGAAGTAAATTTACATTTACAGGTAACTATGACTTATTACTTAAGTTAAACTTATGGTATCAACGCAATTGATGATACTTATATTATTAAGTGAAAGTAAAATATATTTACAGATACACTTAAGGCAGTTTGAAGGCACTGAATATGCTGCTTCTGAAAGAAAAAAATTATAATTAATATGGAATTGAAACAGAATGATTTATAATTATCATACCTATATGCATTTTACATGTAAATGATATTACATATGATTCTCTATTTATTCTCTAATCAGCAATCTATCTGATTTGCAATTGTCAGTAACGCATAAGTTAATAGGATACATGATTGTTATAACAATATTGAAACGATTTTAAATATATTCGCCATATCAAATATGCCTAAGTAATTTATGTATATAGATATTAGTATTGTAAAACATTTACGCTATTTTTATCATGATATTTGAACATACTTCTTATCGTGTATTTTCTTAGGCGAATATTTATTAATCATAAGTTTCTTTATTTCGAAAATGAATTCGAAATATAAAATAATTTTATATTGTTTTCAATCAAACAATAACATATTCGAAAATATAATAATTTTTATGAAAAAGAAAAAAAAAATTAAAAAAAAGTATTTGTTATAGATGAAAAAAAAATTCAATCACGTATACAACTAAATGTAAGTTAGTTAAGAAGAAACAAATTGAAAATATAAATTAAATTATATAAATTAAGGCATACATCGCGATTAAATAAATATATTTAATTCCCAATTGTATATCTAAACTCGTTCGAAATAAACATATAATTTTGTAAAAAATGGTAGAAATATTAAGAAGCAATCATGAAAGATATGAAATTGATACGTTTCATTCAATAAAATATTAACTGAATTAAGATAATTTGCTTTGAGATTGGTTTACTCTGCCGGTGAATGAACTCTGAAGACGATATAGTCTCCAAGACCGTCTAACAGAGAGACCGTACAAGAACTTGTTCGGTATCGATTTCTCAACATGCGCTCTCTCTCCCGTTTCTTTTAAACGAGATTGGATTACAGAGTCTCTCTTGTCTATCTATGGGACACCTTTACATTCACCTACATACGCATTAATTACACACTATACACCGAACGCAAAATTCTGAGCAACTTCCCAACTTTCGAACACGAAACCATTTTATACTTGTATATCAAAAATTTCTTATTATAATTATAATTATAAGAAGTTTGTCTCAAACGTTATTTATATACGGTCGTAGAAAATACTTTTTTCAGTTAAAATAAGTAATCAATAAATAAGTAATTTTTTATTTTGCACAATATTTTCAGATATTGCTCTTCTATATTTTATATATTTCTCAAGAATAATCTTTTTCATTGATTCTTATTAATTTAATATTAAGATATTAAGATATCATTTATTTGCAAAGTTTGTGGGTCGCATTTGAAGCTCTCTGCATTGCCAATTTTAATCTCGCGAATAAAGGATATTTATGATCGATAAGATTACGATTATCAAACAGCAGTATCAAATAATCGATAATCTTTGAAACCGTAAAGCGGGAAACAAGGCGCATTTGAAAGTTCAGTCGTTCGTGTGGTCACGTCGTGGATAGTCGACGCGTGTTTCGCTCACGGCCGCGAACGGAATGCGTACACCTGATGATTATCGATGATACATGGAAAATAAATTCCGTTTCGTATCCGTAACGATACGGAGCACGTGAATTTCTTGTAAACATCACTTTTGACGTACATCGTTCGTGACCGATCTCGAGATTCGCTCGAATACTTCTCGGCAAAGTGAATCGTGGTGCGAAGAGTTTCGTCCCACGTTCGACGCGGTTAAAAACGATCGATACCTCGATAGAAAAAGCGGAAGAGCGAATAATCGCGAAAAACAAATATACCCGGTACCCGATCTCATCCGGTAGGCGTGTGGAATTCGATACCACGGCATATAATCAAATCGTGAAACGTTTTGTGAATAGCACACTTTGCCAACGATTCCTGGACTGTAGATAACGTATCCTAGTTTCTTGTGGTCGATCGATCGGCTAACAAGCTTCCCGCGACGCGGATTTCTTCGACGTGAATAGCCTTAAGCGGAAATCGTATCCAGAAACTGATTCGCCGGGTGAAAGGAAGGACAATTGCGAGCCAATTTTCCTTAAAAATATTAGGATCTATACAGTGTGTCGGCAAGCTTGCTATTGGGACAGATGTGTGATTTTTCGAAATATTATTATTGATATTCGGTATTCACGAACGATTTGATCGGCGCTTCCGGTGTTATCGCGATCTATCGCAACTAAGTAAACGGATGAAAATACCAATAAATGAATGTAAGTTGACTCGACACGTAAAAAAACGTTTGTTCAAAAGAAGAATACTTGCTAAAATTTTGAAGTATTCGCAATATTTTCGAGATAAAGGTTTATATGATCGGATTTATATAACGGTCCTTTCACAAACAAAAAATATATTGTACTCGTAATTAATTGAAAGTTACACAACATGTTTACACGTGCTTCACGTGTCTTTGAACAATAATTAAGCGATGTTAATAATAATATTTTTATGATTACAATTAACGGCAAATTTATCGTATTATTTATTTCGTATTATTCGATAAAAATATGATAAAAATTTGTATTCTTTAATAATTTTTTTAATTCTAACAATGACTAATGCAATTAAAATTTTATATATGTATATGAAAATACTTTCTGGAAAATGTTTAAATAAATAAATATAATTTAATTTACAGAAAGAAACGCTAAAAAATGGACAATTCTTTGAATGATCGCAACGAATTCACTTGAAACGAGTGAGCGGATCGAAAAATTTTTTTTTTTCTCGAAAAGCGTTTCTCGAATCGTATCAAGATCGAAAATTTGAATGGAATCTTCGAAAATGGAAAGAAACGCGGAGGAGCAATCTCCTTTATTGGAGAGGAAAATAAGTACGTCGACGAAAATCGCCTATGCCTTGGGACATATTTTCAATGATCTCACTGCAGCCATGTGGTTCTCCTACACCTTGATTTATTTTCAAAGAGTGGTCTTGTTGGAGCCGATCGTTGCTGGTGGTCTTCTACTTTTGGGTAAAAAAAAAAAAAAACACGAAATCAAATTTTCTTAAATTAAAAAAATCGTCAAGGTCGAAAGATAAAATTGAAAAGAAAATTTGGCAAAATTTATCTATCGCTAAAGCATGTTTATTCTTTAAGGTCAAATCATCGACGCCTTCATGACTCCTGTCTTCGGTGTATTGGTCGATCGATACCTGAAGAAAAAGATTTGGCACATTATCGGATCTGTGATGGTCACGCTATCGTTCCCAGTGATCTTTGGTGGGTTTAATAAATCATCACACGTAAGTATCATGCTTCTTTACGTGGCCAGCATCGCCGTATTTCAAACTGGATGGGCAGCTGTGCAGATATCGCATTTGTCCATGATCCCTGCGTTAACGAATTCATTGCTGGCACGGGCAGACTTAACTGCGATAAGGTATGATTTTCCAAGGTTTTAATATTTATCGTTCTCTCCTTCCGATATTTATTATATTTTATCACCATTATAAAAAGATCTTGTGGAATACAGGTATTCCGCTCAAGTTGGATCAGCCGTTGCAGTATTCATCGTTACGTGGATAGTTCTGCCCACGGATGAGGAGGCAATGGGGCGATTAGTTGAAGAGGACAGTTATAAATTTAGAGTATGTAATTGAAATCTAACCGTTCGTCGTATAATATACATTGAACGGAGGGAAAAAAGGCGTTCCTCCTTAGCGATATTGCGTCGTAAAAAGGAAACATTTTTAAATACTTAAATTTTATTAAGAGAAATTCCTAAATGATTAATAAAAATTTCTCGTTGCAGAATATCGTTTTGACTTTAACGTCCATTGGTTTGATGGCTACCATATTGTTCCACGTGTTTTTAAAAGAAAATTTATTAGAGGATTTCGAATCGCATAAAGGAAATATCGAAGAAGCTAGAAGATTGTTCGATAGCTCACAAAGTAGTCGAACCTCTTTGGTCGGCACGACAATTTTACTTAGAGTGGCTATGCTGTACGTGGCGAGCAGACTTTTCATTACCTTGGCCACGGTTTATCTGCCATTATACATAGAAGAAACGGATATCGATGGAAAAGAAGCCCTCGCCACTGTCCCGTTGGCCTCCTACGTATCTTCCTTTGTTGCCGCTTTGTTACTAAAGTACATAAACAAATCATGCGGAACAAAGGTGTGTATGTTAAATAAAAGTGCATTTGATAGAAGTACGTCACGTATTATCGTGAATGGTTTATCGTTCCTCAGGTATGTTACTTTTTGGGCACGTTAATTGGTATAATTTCTGCTGCTGTTACGGAATATGGAGGGACCTCGAAGGCGATTTTATACATTGTGGCGATTTTAATCGGAAGTGCAAGCTCAATCACAATGGTCACAGCCTTGAGCGTGACGGCAGAAATAATTGGTCCGCGAACAGAGCGAAGCGCCATTGTTTATTCGATCGTAACATTTTTTGACAAAGTTGTTACGGGGCTCGTTGTCATCTTTATCGAGAAATTGTGAGGAAATTGATATTTCTTAAGAATATTCTTAAGTATTATTAAAAGATGGAAGATAAAAGTATTTTCTTTTTAATTTTTTTTTTTTTCAGGAGATGCACGCAACCAACGTACTGTCCAAATTACAATAGAGATACATTGACCCTTGTATGCGTTCTTTCCATGCTTCTCGGACTTGTCACACTATTTTCAGTTTCGCGATGTTTAAATTAAAAATAAGTACAAGAATTTTTCTATAACAAGAAAAAAAAAAGAAGAATCATTGAATGCTCCTTACATCCTCATATATATTTCATCTTTCTAACCAAGGATCACTTCATATTTTCGTATTTTTCCATTTTTACGTAAAGAATATACGAATAAAGTTTTACAATAAAATTATATATTAAATAGTTTCTAAAATTTTATTAAACAGTTGAAAATTAATTATTACGATTTT